AAAGGTAGCCACGGTTTAGAGTGTGAAGGGAAGAAGTCTTATGTGAGACACAGGGCTTTACCAGGAGAAGTAGGTCCAGGTTGTATCAATTGAATAGGATATTTCTGTTGTCTTTTCTCAGTATCAAGCAGGGCTCTAGGTCATATATTGTGTTATTGGAGAATAACAGCCAGAATAACAACAGAATCGTATGCCTGTGAACAGAAGTGTAGTTGTTAGGAATTTAGGCTTCAAAGGCAAATCGACCTGTGTTGTAATCCTGCGGTGCAGTGAATTACTTCATATGGCCCTTCTAGCCATAATCTTTTTAACTCCTACCAAATGATTGGGTGAAACTCTGGAAATGACGTACTTGTGGCCCACCAAGAAGATTGGATAACTTGCTAATAATGCAAAAAAGTGCATGGGAGCCTTTTGGGGTGGTACCATGCAGATAAGGTGTATGGAACCCTAATGAGGGAATTAGTTTTGCCATCCTGGTAGGCTTAAAATGAGCTATCCAGAGACAGAAAGGGGGCACCTCACACCACCAAGAAAGGAGACCGGAACAGAGTGCGTCCTTTAGGCCCATGGTCCCTGCTCTAGGAAACTCTTAGACCCAGGAGACAGAACTGTAACACTGGAGATGGTGACAGATGGTGAGAAGCAGTGACAAATGACAGCAGAGGCGGCAGAACCAGGAGACTGGTAGGAGACATCATGCTGGGGCTTCCTGGCCCACAGAGCAAAAAAGGTGAACGCCTTTGGGAAGGAGACTTGCCATCAGAGTTGTGTGCCTCTGGGCACTTGGCAGAGCTAGGCTTGCTGACCCACAGAGCGAGAGAGGTGAGTGCCTTTGGGACGAGGTTTACTGTCAGAGTGGGGTGTCTCTGTACCTGATGGTGGAGCTAGACTTGCCAACTCACAGAGCTGGAGAGCTGAGCGCCTTTGTGACGAGGCTTACTGGCTGAGTGGGGTGCCTCAGGGCACTTAACAGCACAGCTAAAGAGCTTTGTAACCCTTGCCCAAACAGAGCAGAGGCCAGGCCTGCTCAAGATGCCTGAGGCCCTGGGGGCCTGGGAGAGGCTTGCCAGTGAACATGGCCAAGAAGCTGTCCTGACCGAAGAACTGTATCCTGAGTCCTTCCTGGTCCTGAATTGTAACCTGTTATTTCCCTAAAAAACCCATAGTTTTTTGAGTATTGTCTGTGAATTCTGTGTGGCCATTGCAACAAATTATCGAACCCAGCAGAGAAGTGGAGAGTGCTGTGGGAGGGATGGCTTGGTGTCAGAATTGGTAAAAAGTTGGAGAGGAGATAAATCTGATCTCTGCCTCCTAGGAATCAGCCTTGGGCTGTTGATGCTGATAATGATTCTTCTTCCCCTTTATGAAGTTAGAAGAGGTCAGATACCAGTTGGCATCAGAAACGAGATTTGTTGCAGTGGCTCCAGACTCATGGAAGCATGGGAGTTTGTAAGAGAAAGAACGAAGGAGAATGGGAAAGGAAACTTTTGATTTTTTGGATGGTTACTTTAGTTGTTATCTGTAATGGCTGAAAGTAAAGTGAGAGATGTTATGCTACAGTTGAGGGAAGAAAAGCAACATTTGGAATGGTTTGAGGCAGGGGCCAGGCCCGTGAAACGGGATGATTGATAGGGGGCCAGGATCTTCTGGTTCCACACAGCCAGAGACCCAAGGTCATATGCATATGAGTGGGTAGATAAGGTGTGGAGAACATGAAACTAGAATGTTTTAAAAAGGGTTACATGTTTATTTGAATGTACTATGAATATTGAATGTTTCTCCAACCTAGTGTTGTAAAACAGATCTAAAAGTATGATAGAAATGAACATTATGTATTGTAGGTAATAGAGATTTTACAGCTATTTTCTCAGCCATTACTTGATTGAATATGCTTAAAGAGTAAGTGGAATTTGTTTGAGGGAAGCACAGGCTGTTGGTTTGAATGCAGTAGCCCTGTGTATAGCCTACTAGGGGCTTAGGTAAAAAACCTGAGCCCCTCCCAAAACCTTCAGAGTCAGTAAATTTGCATTTGAAAAGACATGCAGATCTACCCTGAACTGCTGGGAGATCAGGAGATTTGCATTAGAAGGAAGAACATGCAGAAAAAGAGACTGTTTTGCTTTTTGAATTTCGAGCAACTGTTTTGCCACTGGGTGCTTTGAGGCAGGAAAAGTCAGTGCCTATCAGAAGAACACTTTTCCAGGACTGGAATTTAAAGAGAGCCTGTGAGTATGACTACTTGGGTCCATTCAGTGAGTGGAAATGGAGGAGGTGCAGCAATGAAGAGACAGGCTGAGTTTGGGTATGTTCCATTGGCATCTATTGACCTAGCCCACAGAGGCTAGGGAAGATAGAGACAAAGGGCTGGCTGTTGTGACATGCAGGGGGTTGTGTGGACTCCTGAGCTTATGGATGGTGCCCACTGACTGAGCCCATGGTGAATAAGGAATTAGAGAGGAAGGGGCTGGCTGGTCTCAAGTGTGGGGAATTGTGTGGACTCCATGTCCTAGGGATGGTACCCATTGATCTAGCCCACAGGGGCTAGGGTTGAGCTGACCAGAACCAAATCTAATGAAGAGAAAGAGGTTTGATACCATGAGATGGTGTAAATTGCTGCAGTTTGATGGCTTGCTCTGCACTGGACTTTGCTTATGGATGCAGATGCTCAAAGTTCCAACAACATACTTGTCTCCCTAGACTACTGGTTTGGTAAGGACAGGCAATTTAGAAATTGGCTATTTAAAACGGAGAGATAAAAGCATGAAGTGGATGGCTTACACAATTTCATGGGTGTCCTTAGACTCAAAATGAAGGAGTAAAGCAGGGATCCCCACTGAATAGATGCCTCTTTTTCCTGATAGGTCTGGGGAAGAGAGGGCAGGGAAAAATGCTGATAGGATTATATGATTCAGTTGTGAGTCTCCATTGTTAACAGGATTAATTGTGATTTAAATACAGTAATTGTAGAAGCAGTAACTGAAAGAGTGGACTAAGGGGAAGGCACTTCCGGACTGGAGGACAGTGGCTGAACCTAAAATCCCTTAAAGGTTTTGTTATGCTGATTACTTCATGAGGTTCAGAGGCTCTCAGAGCAAGGGAATAATCTTCTCTCAGTTAAATTTTATCAGAGGCCGGTAAGGGTGAAGCTGAGATGACTTTTGGAGAACCTAACCAGATCAGATGGATACCTACAACAGACCTGAATTGCCAGTACCTGAGTATCTCACCCTGAGGACTCTGCCCTACTTAAGGACTAATTGTTAATGATTGCTAGGGACTGGTAGAATGATTGGAAGGGGCAAGTAAATACTTCAAGTATGAAAGGGACATTGGCTAGAAGGGCCAGTGTGTGGCCTGTGTTGCAGTGAATTAGTATGTCCCTTCCAGCCATACTCTTTGTAACTCCCACCAAATGACTGGGTGGGACTATGCAAGTGAGGTATTTGTGGCCCACCAAGGGAATAGGATAGCTTGCTATAGGTGCATGGCGCCCTTGTGGGGGTGGTGCCATGCAAATAAGGTGTATGGAACCCTAACGAGAGGATTAGTCAGTTTTGCCAACCTGCTAGGCTTGAATGATCCCAGAGGCAGAAAGAGGGGACCTCACACCATCAAGAAAGAAGAGATGGGACTGGAATGCGTCCTTTGGGCCCATGGTCCCTGCACTGGCACCTCCTAGACCCTGGAGATAGCTGTAACACTGGAAACAGCGAGATACAGTGAGAAGCAACAGCAGAGAAATGGCAGCAGCAGAGGCAGCAGAACCAGGAGACTAATACCATTGGTCGGGGTTCAGGTAATCATGATTGCCTTTCAGGGGCTGCAAATGTGAGAGAATTTTGGAGTGGAGCCTCTAGAGGGCTGGTATGTTATTTCCTGTTGCCTAGGCTTCACAGGTAATTTAATAGGTAAACTGTCTGCATTTTGTTACTTACAAATTTTTTTTTTGGTGGTAAAAATTATATGTAAGAAAACGTCAGTTCAACAATGTTTACATGTGTAACTTGGTGACATTGATAACATTCATCATGTGCAGTCATTACAAAATGGACATCATTAACCTCTTCTCGGTCAGCAAACACAAGGGCATGCTATTTTTGTTTCTGCAGAGGGTAGTACTCTTTGTCATAACATTTGACTGTAAGAATGTATGGGTGTATGTTTGTTCAGGGGAGCAGTCACTAATAATTGGTATACAGTTGTGCCAGGTCTTACAATTTGAGAATTGTGGGGAGATCTGGATTCTCATGTTTTCTGTCTCACACTTGAGCTCTTTTTGACTTTTACTTACTGTTGCATGTCTCTATGAAAGTGACAGGATGACAGAACCACTGAGTTTTTGAAAAACAGGTGACTGATGTAAAAATTCAGAATTCTGTAAAAGAATATTCTTTTTTCAGCAGATATATCTGTCACCTCCTGATCTCCAAGAATTGTTCAAGAAAATATGATAAGCTGAGGGCCTTGAGTTGTCAGTTTGTGTGGGCCCTTGGTCCTCCCATGACTGTGAGGGGCAAAAGGAAACACTGCCATTCTGTGTTTCCCGTTGGTTAATACCTCATCCTGCGTTTAACCTTTGCTTTTTATTTTGTTGAGTGTTCTGGCGGGTCTTATGGAAGGAGGTGAAATTGTTTGTTAAGAAGGAAGTGATGATCTGAATTATAGCTTTTCTCTAATTTCTGCTATATTTTCTAACTGTTCTAGACCATAAAGAGAGAGGAATAAGACTGCAAATGGTTGCCATCAAACTGTGGATAGATTATTTCGGTGTGTTGGAAGTCCATGAGACAGGATACAATCTGTGAGGGAGTGAATGTTGTCAGTGAAGGGACTAAGCTGATGGCTGTGCCCTAGAGTAGACTTTGGTAGAACACAGAACTTTGTGTCAAATCCCTGTGAATTCTCAGTTTCCTAGTACTGTCAGCCTCACCCTTCTTTCTGGTACGCAATGGAGTACAATGGTACTTTGCTGATTCAAAATGTGTGGGATGTTTTAGGACTCACTGATAATTGAGGATGTTGCCGTGGTCTTTAGCCAGGAAGAGTGGGCTTTGCTGGATCTTGCTCAGAGGAAACTCTACAGAGAGGTGATGATGGAAACTTTCAGAAACCTGGCCTTAGTAGGTAAGAATAGCATCATTTTTTTTTTTTGTCTATTTCTTTAGTGAGCAAAATTTTACCCATTGACTTTGCTCCAAAATTTAGGCTCAGGAATGGAAATAAATTGTTTAATAAAACAGACATGGTCCCTTGGTCTATGTAGCTCACATATGCTGGCTACCCTATGAACATAAAACTCTATGTACTAAAGTGAGTTTTCATTTCTCTTGTGATTAAAAGCCCTGAGGCTCTTTAACTGTTGTACGTAAGCATTGGCTTCAGGGATCACTTTGGGGGCACTGAGAGATTTATGTTTGTGAACCTTACAGAGACTATGTTTATTGCAAAAGTTTGACATGATTTTATTTTGGTGCACATAAACTCACACCTATCCATCTTCAGAGGCCCTGAAGAGCAAACCATTGGCTCAGTGTCAGGGAAATGCTCATTACTCTTCACTGTCTTCCTTCATGATATGCATTTCTTCCATAAGCATCATGTCAGCTATACCATTTCTTTTCTCACAGAAGCAAGAACAATGGAGATAGGACTGATACAGGGCCACTGTGTCATAGAGGACCAGGATAGCAAGAATTTTTTTGAAGGATCAGCCTTGCATGGAGCAGAGGTGTAGCGAGGGGAGATGGGGGGCACATGTCCCTGTGTGCAGGTCCAAGGAGGTGTCAGATGAGATGCAGAATGACAAATATGAAAGGCTCCTGACTGAGGCAGCTGGATAAGAGGGGGAAAAGTGTTTCTGCTGATGTATTACCATTATCAACGTCTGTTCATCTTGAAATTGGGGTGGGGTGGTGCGCAACTTAGAGATTGCCCCTGGGTACTCATTACCCTCGCTGTGCCCCTGGCATAGAGCAAATCACATTTGAATCAGCTAGAAAAAGTCTCTTGGGTTGAGGACACGACTTCACAGATATCTGAGCTACGTTTCTAACTTTAGCAATCCTCTCACATCTGTGGTCATGGACCTTTTCCGCTTTGATATTTGTGTATTATGTCCAGTATCATTTTACTTAGCTCCCTAATTATACCTATTTATGTCACGGTAACTCTCAATTCTCGTGGAAGTATTTCCTAGTAAACTGCTTTTTAACTATTGCCAAAGCACTGAAACAGTGATGTGGCTAAGTCTTTGTTCACAGCAGCCTTTTTTCCCCTAACAATTCCTTTCCTTTTTGTTGCATATTGTGAAACTGAACTTTAATTATTGACTCAGTCTCTCAAAACCTTAATAATGGAGAGAAGTTATCCACTGAACATATAATAGTGCGATTCATGAAGAATGACTCCTGGTCTTCCATGTTAGGAGAAATCTCAGAATCACATGGCAGTAAAGATCGGCATAAAAATCAGAGGAGACATTTGAGGTAAGTGTTATTCATACAAGAGAAACAGTGCCTCAGGAGATAGTCTTAAGGTGTCATGACATTATGTACTTATTTATACACATATGTATATATGCTCATATATATAATGCTTGATAAGGTCAGCAAAAAAGAGGAAGATCCTCAACGTGATAGATTGACAGTGGCTGCAACAATGGGGTTAAACATAGGAACGATTTTGAGGATGGTGAAGGACCAGTGTTTCATTTAGTTTTCCATGGGGCTGCTGTGAGTTGGAACCAACTGGACAGCACCTAACAATATGTGTAAGCCTTGCTGTAAAATTATGTGTTCAGAGAATTTTCACAGTACAACCTTTTCATAAATGTGAGTTAGATATCAAGTATTTGAGACATACTTCACTTGGACACAATTATCAGAAAGCCACATATTTTAGAAAAACAGTAAGTGTAGTATTTCTGGGAGATGTTTCAACCTATGAAACATGACACAAGTCAGGGCTAAAACCATGCATGTTCCCTGTTTGTTTATCATGGTGAAATGAGAACAAACGTATTTCCAACGGCATGTTGCCTTTTTTTAACAGAAGTCATACAGTAAAGAACCTCTGCGAAACTAATAAAGGCAATCAGTGTGGGAAAACCTTCAGCCACATTCCAAATCTTACTGTGCTGAAAAGAAATCCCCCAGAAGTACATCGTTTTGAATGCTGTGAGTGTGGGAAAGACTTCATGGATCATTCATCACATAGCCAGCCTACTATATCTCACAATAGATCCAGTACCTGTCAGTGTAAGAAATGTGGAGAAGCCTGCAATTGTCCCACTCATCCAACCTCTTCCATGAGAACTCTTACTGGAAGGAAACTTAAAAAATGTAAGGTATGTGGAAAGGATGTCATTTGTATCTTAGCGCTTAAGAATTCTGTGACAACACTCACTAGTGACAAATGCTATGAATGTAATGAATGTGGGAAAAATTTCTTTAGTTTCTCATGCTTTTGGACACATATGAGAGGTCATAGAAGTGAATGTAAAGAATGTTGTAAAACCTGTGATCTTCCTTCCTCCCTTATTTTACATAAAATATTTTATAACAGAGATATGCTTTATAAATGTAAGGAATGTGGGAAAACCTTTAGTGACGCCTCATCCTTCAGTAGACATAGAAGAACTCATAGTGCAGAGAAGCCTTATGAATGTAAGGAATGTGGGAAAACATTTAGTCTGGCCTTATACCTCAATAGACATAGAAGAACTCACAGCGGAGAGAAACCTTATGAATGTAAGAAATGTGGAAAAGCCTTTAGTCAGACCTCATGCCTCACTAGACATAAAAGAACTCACAGTGGAAAGAAACCTTATGAATGTAAGGAATGTGGGAAAACCTTTAGTCAGACCTCAGGCCTCGCTGGACATAAAAGAACTCACAGTGGAGAGAAACCTTACGAATGTAAGCAGTGTGGGAAAGCCTTTAGTCAGACCTCATGCCTCACAAGACATGAAAGAACTCACAGTGGAGTGAAACCTTATGAATGTAAGGAATGTGGGAAAACCTTTAGTTGTTCCTCAGTCCTCACTCATCATATAAGATCTCACAGTGGAGAGAGACCTTATGAATGTAAGGAATGCGGGAAAGCCTTTAGTTGTTCCTCACACCTTACTGCACATACAAGAACTCACAGTGGAGAGAGGCCTTATGAATGTAGGGAATGTGGGAAAGCCTTTAGTTCTTCCTCAAACCTTACTCAACATATAAGAACTCACAGTGGAGAGAGGCCTTACGAATGTAAGGAATGTGGGAAAACCTTTAGTGAGTCCTCATCCCGCAATCGACATATAAGAACTCACAGTGGAGAGAGGCCTTATAAATGTAAGGAATGTGGGAAAGCCTTTTGTCGTTCCTCACACCTCACTAGACATACAGGAACTCACATTTGAGAGGCATTATGAATGTAAGGAACGTTAGGAGGCCTTTAGTCATTCCTCGCACCTTCATTATATCAGAACACAGTGGAGAGACTGTCAAAAGTGGGATGTTTCATTTTTACTGGTATAGTTTCAAACAACAAATTTTCCCAAAGTCTGAGATTAAAGAACAAAGTTCTTAGTAAAGAGGGAATAATAACTCAAAAAAGGGTCATTACAGTTAGTTTGTGTCTTTGGCAGAATGACCATTTCCTTGTAACTGCAGGACTGTCCTCGTCAGTGTTTGTTTTCTCAGTCCAAGCTAAATTTTACTTTTCTCAAAGTCTGCCTGTTACAAATCAGGCTGCAGAGAATAGCCTTGAACAAATGTGGTTTTATTTTTTTTTATTTTATGCTTTATTGATGTTATTTTGCATACAATAAAATACACTGATCTTGAATTTGGTTTAAGAGTTTTTTGTTTGTTTCCATATTTCTCATAGTTTCTTCCATTCACTATTGTAAAGTTAACTGTTTTATCTTTTATAATTAGTAAGTTTCTCATAGGGCGATACTTTGAGACTGTGCAAATATTCTTTTTTTCATTGTACTTTTGGCCTACTAATTCTAATGTTGTTAGGTGCCGTTGAGTCAGTTTTGACTCATAGCCACCCTATGTACAACAGAATGAAATGCTGTCTGGTCCTGCACCATCCTCACAATCCTTCTTATGCTTGAGCCCATTGTGGTGGCCACTCTGTCAATCCATCTCGTTGAGGGTATTCCTGTTTTTCGCTGACCCTCTAGTTTACCAAGCAGGGATTCTTCCTTTCTCATAACATGTGCAAACTACTTGAGATGAAGTCTTGCCATCCTTGTTTCTAATGAGCATTCTGGCTGTACTTCTTCCAGGACAGATTTGATCATTCTTCTGGAAGTCCATGGTATATTCTGCATTGCAACATGATTCAAAGGCAAGTATTCTTCAGTTTTCCTTATTCTTTGTCTAGCTTTCACATGCATATGAGGCAATTGAAAATACCATGGCTTGGGTCAAGCGCACCTTAGTCTTTAAAGTGACATTTTTGCTTTTTAAATCCTTAAAGAGGTTTTTTGAAGCAGATTTGCCCAGTGCAGTCTGTCGTTTGTTTTTTTGACTGCTGCTTCCATGGGCCTTGATTGTGGATCCAAGTAAAATGAAATCCTTGACAGCTTCAGTATTTTTCCGTTTATCATGATAGTCTTAATTGGTCCAGTTGTGAAGTTTTTTGTTTGTGTTGTTGTGTAATCCATTCTGAAGGCTATGCTTTTTGATCTTCATCAATAAGCACTTTAAAGTCCTCTTCATTTTCAGCAAGCAGGTTGTGTCATTTGCATAATGCGGGTTGTTAATGAGTCTTTCTCCAATCCTGATGCCACATTTTTCTTCATATAGTCTAGCTTCTTGGATTATTTATTCAGCATACAGATTGAAGAAGTACGGTGAAAGAATGCAACCTTGACACACACCTTTCCTGATTTTAAACTGTGCAGTATCCCCATGTTTTGTTTGAATGATTGCTTGTTGGTCTATGTGCAGTTACTCATGAGCACAATTAAGTGTTTTGGAATTCCCATTCTTCACAACATTATCCAGAATTTGTTATGATCTACACAGTTGAATGCCTTTGCGTAGTCAGTAAAACATGATAAACATCTTCCTGGTATTCTCTGCTTACAGCCATGATCCATGATCCATCTGTCATCAGCAATACTATCCCTTGTTCATGTCCTCTTTTGAATCCAGCTTTAATTTTTGGCAGTTCCCTATCCATTTACTGCTGTAACTGTTTTTGAATGATCTTCTACAAAATTTTACTTGTGTGTGATATTAATGATATTGTTCATATAATTTCCACATTCTGCTGGATCAGCTCTTTTTGGAATGGGTACAAATAGGGATCTCTTCCAGTCGGTTGGCAAGGTAGCTATCTTCCAAATTTCTTGGCATAGATGAGTGAGCATGTCCAGCACTGCATCTATTTGTTGAAATGTCTCAATTGGTATTCTGTCAATTCCTGGAACCTTGTTTCTTGCCAGTGCCTTCAGTGCAGCTTGGACTTCTTCCTTTAGTACCATCAGTTCTTGATCATATGCTGCCTCTTGAAATCGTTGAACAATTACCAGTTCTTTTTGGTTAGTGACTGTGTATTTCTTCCATCGTCTTTTGGTACTTCCTGTGTCATTTAATAGTTTCCCAGTAGAATCCTTCAATATTGCAATTTGAGGCTTGAATTTTTTCTTCAGTTCTTTCAGCTTAAGAATGCCGAGTGTTCTTTCCTTTTGGTTTTCTGTCTCCAGGTCTTTACACGTGTCATTATAATACTTTATCTTCTTGAGCCACCCTTTGAAATCTTCTGTTCAGCTTTTACTTCATCGTTTCTTCTTTCACTTTAGCTACTCTACTTTCAAGAGCAAGTTTCAGAGTATCTTCTGACGTACATTTTGGTCTTTTTTCTTGTCTTTTTAATGACTCTTGCTTTCTTCATATATGATGTCCTTAATGTCACTCCACAACTCTTAGGGTCTTTGGTCATTAGTGTCCAATGCATCAAATCTATTCTTGAGAAGATCTGTAAATTCAGGTAGGATGTACTCAGGGTCGCACTTTGGCTCTTGTGGACTTGTTCTAATTTTCTGCAACCTTAACTTGAACTTTCATATGAACAATCGATGGTCTATTCCACAGTCAACCCTTGTCCTTGTTCTGATGATATTGAGCTTTTCCAAGGACTCTTTCCGCAGATGTAATGGATTTGATTCCTGTGTATTCCGTCTGGCGAGGTCAGTGTGTATAGTCACCGTTTATGTTGTTGAAAAAATGTACTGGCAATGAAGAAGTCATTGGTCTTGCAAAATTCTGTCATGCAATCTGCAGTGTTTTTTCTGTCATCAGGACCATATTTTTCAACTACCTATCCTCCTTCTTTGTTTCCAACTTTCACATTCTAATCACCAATAATTATCAATACATCTCGATTGTATGTTTGACCAGTTTCAGACTGCAGAAGTTGGTAAAAATCTTCAATTTCTTCATCTTTGGCCTTGGTGGTTGGTGCATAAATTCGAATAATACTCGTAATAACTGGTTTTCCTTGTAGGTGTGTGGATATTATGACCAGCAGTGTACTTCAGGATACATTTTGAAATGTTCTTTTTGATGCAACACCATTCCTTTTCAAGTTGTCATTCCTGGCATAGTAGGCCATATGATTGTCTGATTCAGAATGGACAGTACCAGTCCATTTCAGGTCACTAATGGCTAGGATATCGATCTTTATGCATTCCATTTAATGTATGATGACTTGCATTTTTCTTGGATTTGGGTTTCGTACATTCTATGTTCTGATTATTAATATATGTTTGCAGCTGTTTCTTGTAATCTTGAGTCGTGCCACATCAGCAAATGAAGGTCCTAAAAGCTTGACTCCATCCATGTCATTAGGGTCGACTCTAGTTTGAGGAGTTAACTCTTCCCCAGTCGTATATTGAGTGCCTTCCAATCTGAAGGGCTCATCTTCCAGCACTATCAGTGTTCCACTGCTATTCATAAGCTTTTCACTGACTAGATTTTTTCAGAAGTAGACTGACAGGTCCTTCTTCCTAGTCTGGAGTCTTCACTGAAACTTGTCCACCACGGGTGACCCTGATGATATTTGAAATACTGGTGGCAAAACTTCCAGTATCAAAGCAACATACACACCACCACAGTACAACGGACAAAATTCAGTACATAAATTTAGTTAAATTTACTGTCCACGCTCAAAGAATTTCATGAACCGTGTGCATGTGGATGTTTCTCTTTTGTTCACTTCTGTATCTGCTTTGCCAACATGAAGTAGGCTTTGTCATATTACCTAAGTCAGTTTTAATGAAGCTAGCCCCAGTTAAGAGTCTGTAGGGAAAAAGTCGTGTCTGAGACACATGACTTTCCCAGGAGTAGTTCCAGGTTGTGTGAATTGAATAGGATGTTTCCTTTTTTCCCTCTCCCTAGTATCCGGCAAGGCTCTAGATCATCCATGGTGTTATTGGAGAATAACAGCTGGAATAACAAAACTGTGCATATGAATAGAAATGTGGTGGTCAGGAATTTAGGCTTCAAAGGCAAATTGACCTACAGTGTGATCCTGTGAGGTGCAGTGAATTACTTAATATGGCTTTTCTAGTTATAGTCTTGTAACTACCACCAAATGATTAGGTGAAACTATGCAGATGAGGTGTCTGTGGCCCACTAAGGAGATTGGATAGCTTGTAAATTAATGCAAATAAACAGGACACTTGGAGTGGTACCATGCAAATAAGGTATATAGAACCCTATATATACTTGGAATCTGCCATCCAGGATCTATCTGACGTACATCAGCAATGATATCTCTATTTTATCTTTTATAATTAGGTTTCCAGTAGGCCACAGTTGCTCGGCTGGAGAGACCCTAGCTTACTGCTGCCTGGGTCTGCCCCACCTCCACTGAATAGCCCCTTCAGTGCAATTTTTGTTTGTTTTTTGTTATTGTTTATTTAGCTTTTTTGTTGCTTTTGTCTCTCTCCCTTTCTTCCTTTACTTTCTCCACACCCAACTAGCCCCATGTATTGTCCCCTCCTCTTCTTGATGGGCAGTTCCACACTGCTTGGCTAGAGAGCCACCAGTGCACGGCTGTGTCAGGTATGTACTGCCGTGCTGGCAGTCTCCCTCAGCACCATTTTTTATTTTAGTATTATTTTTTTCGTTTCTTCTCTCTCCCTCTCCTTTCTCCCACCTAGCCCTGTGTGATGTCTCTTCTTTGAAGGCTGTGCCACACCACTCTGTTAGAAAGCCACTGGCTCACAGCCTCCCCAAGTCCGTGCTGCAACCCTCTGGCAGGCTCCCTCAGTGCCATTTTTTTCTTTTTTTCCTTTTCTTTCCCAGTTTCTTCTCTTTCTCTGTCCCTTCCTTTTTTTTCTCCAGCCACCTAGCCCAATGAGCTGCCCCTGCCCCTTCTCAACAGGCAGTGTTACACCACTCTACTAGAGAGCCACTGGTGCACAGCTTCTCCAGGTCCGGGCTGCCCGACAGCTGGATCATTTGGTGCCATGTTTTTTTCTCTGTTGTTTCTTTTTCTATCCTTTGTCTCATTCATCTGGCCCCGTGTGCCATCCCTGCCCCTTCTTGATGAGCC